CCCCCCCCCCCCCCCCAGGTGCCAACCGGTGCCGGGAGCCGCCCCCTCCCTCCCCCACGAGCTGTGCCTCCATCCCATTCCCCCGCCGTGCCTGGGCAGAGCCTGCCCCTGATTCCTCCAAACCCCTGGGAGGGGTGTTGATCTGCCCCCCACATGCCTCTTCCCTCCCCACTCCCCTTCAGATTTACCAGCTAGAGGCAGCTCTCCACGTTGCCAGATCTGCTCTGTGCTGCACTGCGGCTGCGCACAGCCCAGGCATTTATAGGCCAAATTATCGGCCCCATCGAGCTAATATCAAATACAGCACATTTTCTTTATGTCAGTACCAATACGATATTGTATCAGTGCACCTCGAGATTTAAACTATACTTTTATTATATCTGGTTTACCTTACACTGTATTTCATAAAGGTATGGTCTTAAGTTTTACCTTGTGCTTTGTACCCTAAATTATCCTAAATTGACATTTAAATCAGATGTTTCATTTTCTAGTTTTCTTCCCCAACCTCCTCTTAAATCAAGAGGAAATTGAACTGCACAATTTTGATACAGTTCATGTTCTGCCACATGACAGATCATGAGCTTTCAAAAGTTCCATTTGCTATATATAGCATTTGCAGATAAGGTTAGTGGTTAGGCAGTATTCACCCAAAAATTGTCAACATGAAAATTTAATTACATGCTACTAGAGAATTAAATTAGGTCTACTCAAATGAGTTAGAGCCCATTTCACAAGGGCTAAACTTCAGTTACTTTCCAAAAAAATCCCTATTCCTGAATTCTGTAGGCAGGCTGTATGGACATCAGAACCACACTTTCACTTAGAACTGTTCTGTTTATCTTCAAGTTTTCATACTTCAAGAGGGCTGTTCTGCCAGATCGGGCTCCTAATGCCCACCTCTTAAGTATGAGGTCACTGCTTGCTGGTCACCAGAAGTAGAATAAATATGGACAATAATTTGAGAAAGTATGGGCAGCTATACTTCTTGTAAATGGGATTTCCACATGGATTCCATGACCCATATTCTTTCACTAGCTTCTGTATTGGTCAGTGAACTGAAGGACAGTTGTGCTCACTCTGCCCTTTATGACCTGTGGGGAAAGGAAGGAGGACATCATGTTCCCAGGTGCAGTCCCAGTAGTGACACATCTCAAAGACTCACAATTACAGTAAGAGGTATTTATTTTTACGTACAAATGTCACACTACCAAAGCTGTATTTATGTATGCGTCATGAGAGAAGATTTCTATATTTAAAGAAATAGAAGTATTTTTAACTGGCTGGTATCCTGGGTACTAATTACCTTAAGAAACTCTTTGAAGTAATGAAACTTTTGTTGTTTCCCTAGTTTCAAGGTGTTATGTTTTTTGACACCTTGGGCTCATACCCTAAGAGAAAAGCAAAGGGAGATATTTTGTCCCTTTAGTCCATTCCATGGCTGAAAATCCTGACCAGTCTCCCTTGTAAACGTACACACATATACATCCAATATAACTTCGCATAATTTCTGATTGTCTTTGAAAATGTGTTGGTAATATTTTTGTAATTCCATGCTTTATAGAAATGTACAAAATGTTATTTGTTTTCTTTTCCAGACCCTTATTGTGGCTTGGATCCGAGCAAATCTGAGTGTTTACATTTCTCGAGAACTCTGGGATGAATTGCTTAGCGTGCTGTCTTCCCTCACTGATTGGGAGGAGCTGATAAGTGAATGGGCCAAAATTATGGATTCTCTAACAGTAGTGTTAGCAAGAACAGTGTATGGAGTAGAAATGACCAACTTACCACTGGATAAACTGAGTGAACAAAAGGAAAAAAAACAAAGGGGAAAAGGCAAGTTGCTATTCTTTAGTGCATTTTATGTTAAATTAGTTAAAACATTCCAAGTTAGATTATATCAGAGTAGAATTGGAAATCTGAATTTGACATTATAGTTCCTGACAGTGCAAATATTTGGTTAAAAAATTACTTCCAACACCCTGCAGTTTGTATTATTATAAACCTACCCTGCGCTTCCTGATTGTGGCAGAGCACAGTTGGTGCCTGCCACTTTAAGGGCCAAGTCAAGCAGCCAGCAGGTGCTCGATTGTGGCGGCCATTTTAGAACCAGAGCCACCTACATAAACAGAGCAATTTGCTGCTGGCAGCCAGGCAGGAAACATCGCCTGGCTGAGCTGCTGTATGAGAACATCTGCCGGTAGGAGCAGGAGGCTTGTGGTCCTGGGCATGACCTAAAACTGCATCCTGCTGGGAGTAGGTGGCCTGGTGGGGCTCCCAGTGGTGCAGGAGCCTCTAGGAAAATACCAGACCAGTTGCCACCCTGGTGGAAGGTGGGTTGGGGCACCTCAATAACCCCTAGCCCCCACATCACTAGGTAGCACTTGGGACCAGGCATGGCTATAGCCATATGAGCCCCCACCGGGGAGGAAAGCTCCATAGCCCCAGTGAGGGGGTGGAAGATGTGGAGCCCCAGTAAGGGTAGGCCCCCAGTGGAGGGGTATAGAGTATATAGAGTTGCCCTGGAAGGAGCCAGGGCAAGCTTGGTCCCAGTCAGGTAATTGGCTGGCCACTACCACAGTGGGGGTCACTGGAGAGGCCCAAAAGATGGTACATCTATCATCCAAGGTGTGCACTAGATAAAGCCTATGGCCTAAGGGGCCCTCCGAGTGGGAGCAAGGCAGTATAAGTTGTTGATGCGTGAGAGATGCTGTAAGAGGGGGTGGAGTGTGAGAGGTCCCTAGTGAGAGGAGGGCAGTATGAATGTGTGTGTATATGAGGCCTATCAACAGGGGCTAAGCTTGGTCCGGCTGTAGGCTGGGAGCATTATGTCACCTGGATGCCATCTGTGAGGCTTGGGTTGTGGTGTAGGGATGGAATGGAGCTGCAGATAGTGCCCTCTGGCATCGGGGCAAGAATGAGCAGCCTCCTGCCTAAATTAGAATCAAGTGAGAAACAACAAGGTGTGGAAGGCAAGGAGGTGGGTGGTTGGCCCAAAAACAGGTGGGTGGGCCAATGCCAGACCGGCCCCGAGAAAGCCCCCTGTTACACTGAGCCCTGCCTGCAGGGCAGGTCCAGGTCACTTCAGAGCCCAGAGCCAGCACCAGGGGCTGTACCACATGTTTAACAGCCCTGCAGTACAGTTTTGTTGTATAGTAGTTTTCCTTGATGTGTTTGGATCAAGGTTGTCTATCTTCTATACTTCCAAAGTTGGAATCCCTTACATTTAAAAAAAATCTTTTTGCCAGAAATAGTAGATTGAAAACATGCATGTCCTGCGCAAATTGTTTTAGCTCCTTTTTTTTTGTACTGTGAATTGAAGTATAGCGTTGATTATAACTATTGTAACTGATGCTGCCTTTCTCAAAGGTGGCATCTCAGATCCACAAAAGGTAACTGCAGTGGGAAGATCATTTTCATTAAGCTGGAGGAGTCATCCTGAAGTTGTGGAACCAATGAGATTCAGGAGTGCTACCACGTCTGGAGCACCAGGAGTTGAGAAAGCAAGAAATATAGTCCGTCAAAGAGCAACAGGTTAGGCACTGACTGCTTTAACCTCATTATAATCAAAACATCTGAATTATAAGCCTGAATTTTAAAAAAAAAATTATAACTTCCTCTATATCTTTTAATTTCAGTTTTGTTTAGAAATAAATGTGTTCCCAAAAACTGTCCCCTAAATGTTTTTCTTAACTTACTCTCTTTTCCTTCAAAGACTGCTCATTTTTATTTATTTCAAGACATCTTTTAGTAAAAAATGTTATAATTAGGAAAGAGATCTATTGACTCCTTATGTAAGAATGAATGATTTATTATTTAGTACCACCTTTTTTTTTAAAATAGGTCAACAAACAAATTGATTGGCTAAGTGTTCTGGCATGTGCAGACATAACGTAACCAGTATATCTGTACAAACTGGGACTTTTTTTTAGCTATGTTGATCATCTGTGAATCTTTAAGACAGCGGCATTTAATTATGTTTCTAAAACCCCTAACTCTCTTTTCTACAAACAACCAGCTTCAGGAAAAATGAATATTCACTAATGAATTAAGATTCACTGTCTTTCTCAGACAAGGTTCTTTGGGTAAATCTGATATCTTTTATTAGACCAACTCAGATAGTTGGAAAAAATTCTTCTTTGCAAGCTTTTGGGCACAAACACCCTTCATCAGGCCGAGGAAGCATCTGTTCAGACCAACTGTAACAAACCACCCTCAGTCTGACGAAGGGTGTTTCTTAGGAGTCTGTGAAACAGGTCATATTCAGTGCTGCTGTGGGATGTTCTATCTGCCCCAGCATCGCAGCTTTCACGAGCCGCCTGGTACCTTGAGGAATGTAGAAAAAACATTTAAAACTCTGTCTGTGTCCGAATTGTTGAATCTTTCCAAACCTCTCCAAATTGATTCGGAAGGTTCCAATTAGATTCGCAGAGATTAAAGGGTCTCCTGGTTCAATTTGGATTGAATATGAAGATGCAGCACTCCGAATCGGGCCAAATCTCCACTGAATCCAGTCGGTATATGAAGCTTTGCACAGTCCCAGTGTTTGTGACCAAAAGCTTGCAAAGAAGATTTTTTTCCAACTATTTGAGTTGGTCTAATAAAAGATATCAGATTTATCCAGAAAACCTTGTCTGCCTATGTCCTTAGACCAACACATCTACAACCTATGCCTCTGGCTTTCTTAAGCATTTAAGTATTGTGATGAATACAAGTTTATCCTGTACTCCTGATGTTTACTTAGATTCTGTGCAAAGGAATCCATTAGTGTTGTATTAAGATTCCAGTTTTATATCAACAAACTCCGGAAAATACAGTATGTATTCACAGTAATCTTTGTGTAACACCTTGCTGTTCTTGCCAAATTTGAATTGTAAAACACTTTTCTATAATGAAGAATTCTGTGACAAACCATTGTAGTGCTTTCATTATGGAGAGTATTTCTCATATTTGTTCAACCCTGTACTGTATGACTTGACAGTTGGTAAACTTTTCTTTTGTAATTATAACTATGTGGAGGTATAGAAATATTTAACAGTTTTGCATAACAGTTATAGTACCTATAATTTATATGGTTAAACAAGTAACTTAATGTAATGAGTTGTTTACTGAATACTAATTTATAATTTATAATTATTTTTTGTCGTTTAGGAAGTCTTTTATTACAAATTAGTGGAAAATAAAGGGGGGGGGGGGGGAAAAAGAAAAGCTATAAACTTAAACCTTTTTCCCAAAGTATTGTATTGGTACTGTATAATAATGAAAATATCAAGCAGATAATAAATAGTTTTGATATAGACATTTTATTAGTCTGTTCTTTTTTCAGCTGAAGACAGATTTATCTTTATTCTACAGTGTCAATTTTTAATTTAGGCAGATATGTTCAAAATGTGTATCATTATCTTTTTATCTAATAAATCTAAATAAGGTAAGAATTCTTGCATTTTTTCTTACCCAGCATCGATATACCTTGTGCATGTTGTTACATTGTCCACTTTCTTAATATTGAGACGGGTAAAAAGCCTTTTTAATTTGCGTAACTTTCTTGCTCGTTTTTTTTTTTAAGAAGAGCACACTGATAACGTTCTGTAGATCCCCAGATTGCAAGAATAGTTGCATAAAGTTAGGCTCCCAAGTTCATATTTAAATGCATCAGTCCAGGGAACTGCCCTTAAATAGTCTGTACTTTTGAAAATAAATTCATTAATTTAGGTGCCTAGATATGGATATCAGTTCTTGAAAGTCTTGTGATAATTCCATTTACCTCTGTGAATTATTTTTTCCAAAATATTTTAACATTTCTAATTTCATTGTAATTATATATCATTTATCCTCTAAAATGTTACTTTTTCAACACAATTTATAATGATGGCTTTCAGAGCACCATTCAAATTATGTTCTGTTTCTGTACTTCCACATAGTTGGCCCATGTTTGTTGGCTTACCTTCCGCTTTCAAGCGGGAAACAACTTGCTTCATCCTCCTTTGTTCCACCTATTTGCTTCCACTCTGTTAGGCTGATGATACATATTTGGTAGCATCTTCAGTTTCCTTTCTCTTGTGTTTCTTTCTTTTTGTAAAGAAAAAGATGTTGAGAAAACATAGGAAGAAACAAAATAGGAATAGGGAGTGAAAGGTTGTTAGGGGAGTGTCTGTATCTTCATATTCAGCATAAAAGCCAGCATTTTCAAACATGCCAACACAATGAGTTTCATCTCCTCAGGTAGCAGATTCTATCTTCTTCTGATCTGACATAAGTTTAAGGGTTCCTGTACTATTGACAGTCAATAGGCAACAACAGCAGAAGATTCTTACTGCTTTTAAGTAAGCAATATTCTGCTACATGACCTTCTCATTCACAACAAATGGATAATTTATCTCACTGCTAAAATTTGGAAGTGGTTCTTTGTTTTTTCTGGAAGCTGCAGGACCAAAGCAAGCCCATTAGATTTCATCTTACCAGAAATTCAGCCTCAGTTGCTAGAAAGCAACTGTCCATTCAGTTTCCCCCACAGACTTTGTTTATATCTTTTAATTTTTATACTTTTTATGGTAGTGACTTTATTTAAATTTCTAGCTCTGCTTCTCCTCTCCTTAGTTGAGGAATCCCTAGAGCATTGAGAAATTAATCCTTTCATTCCTTTCGCACAGAATTTCTCCAGCCAGCTTCCTCTGTACTTTATGGACATGTCCATGTACTGCACATTCAGCTGTTCACTGCACTGCAGGGGTCAGCAGAGATAATTTGATAGAGTCTTCCAGGTATAAAATCTAATTTATTGGAGGTTTGCCTTGAATTTGTCCTCTTCCCACTGCTACACCAGGGAAATTTTAAATCTGGGGGTCGGGTAGCCCCTTAGCCCTCTGCCCCCAAAACTTTTTTCCCCTGCAGCCCCTATCCCCCCTCCTTCCTTACTGTCAGACCCTGCTCCTCCTGAGGACATGGAAGTGAGGAGGAAATGTGAGGAAGAATTGGTCTTGAAATAAGTATAGCTTTAGTAATTTGCATATAGCAGCCATTCACTTAGTTCATCCAAAATTGATGCATTTTGTCTTTTTTTGAAACTGCTGCATGTTTTAGCACAGGTACTCCATAAACATACTTTAAAGTAGCACTTTGGCACCTACTTAGATAATATAAACTATGCATGATAATAGTACAAAGCCAAAAGGCTTGTGATTTACCATATAGTTCATTGGGCTGGGCCCCAGCAGAGTGACCATGCCATGGTGACCCCACAGCTCATTATTGTTCAGTGTGCATATGTGCTCCAGCTATCCCTCCCACAAAGGATCCATGTGCCAACTAGCCCCCGCCAACACCTGGAACCAGGTGTTCTTGTCATGACTCCTTGGGTCTTCCAAAAATGTATATGCAGATGAGGCGTGGGGCAACCTGGTCCAGCTCCATCTCATGGAGGGCACGGTCACATTATTCATACAACAGGCTGTTAGAGGGGCTGATGGGGATTCTGGGTGAACTGTTTGTGGCCCCATTTAGTGTGGTTTCCCGGACATTTAAGGCTAGTGAATAAACAGGAATCATTGGAAATGGGAAAGAAAGGCACAGCTCAGTTGCGGATGTGAAGAGGAAGTTGAAACATATGCAGCATAGTTCAGCAG